CTGATCTAGTATCCAATTATTAAGTGGCCTCCTTTCTATTAGGTATTAGGTATGCTATTTAGCTGTTACTAGTGAATCTTGACAAAGAATGTACTGTTGGTACACAAACAGCAGAAAATTCCCATTTGTTCTAAGACCTTGTTTGCTCGCTCCACAGTATTAGCACTAGCATATCAGTGAATGTAACACACCCTTGTTAGCTTCCTTGATCTATTTCTTAGACAATTGTCTCTTCACATCTAAATGCGTTTGTTCAGCTTTTAGTACAGGCATGCAAGACATATGCCCTTGAGCACATGCACACACACACACACACACACACACAGGCACACAAGCAAACACACACTAAGCTACTCTTTCTGCTGCCCATCTGTTAGTTACAATTGGAGCTATACGTAGGAAAATTATAAGCAGCAATAGGGATAAGCTCACCTTTTCACAAAAAAGAGAAAAATTTTATGGATATGTCTTCAAATAATATGCATTTTGTCTATAAATGTTAACCCTTAAAATAATGTTTTATGTCTCCTATGTGGCATATAAATCAAGGTAATTACATTTATTATACAAACATCCTGAATCATTATCTTAAGAGCTAAAAGCATTGTGAATTACTGAGATAAAAGCTGCTCAGATCATACAACCAGGTCTTTGCTGCATCAATAATATTTGTTTTTTTTTCTTTTTTGCATCAATATTATTTCTATCCAAATAGACTCATTTAGCTCTGTTTGTTGATTAAGATATCCATTAGTAGAAAAGCATATCTATTGACTATATAAAAGAAATTGGATTTATGACGCTTTGGAAATTAGCAACCAAGAGAAGTAAAAATAAATGTACATGAAAAAAATTGGAAAGGGAAAGGAGAGCAGAGTGAGCATATTAAGTCACTTTAAATTCATTAAAGAGTCTTATCTAATACAGGTTAAATTTAATAAATCATAATATCATAAGAAAAACCTACCATTTAGAGCTATACTGTTTATCTGAAGAATTATGAATGGAAAAATTCAAATATACTTACCTTTTAAAACAGATTTTGGACTGATGTTTTATATACTTGCAGAGAGAGAAAAGAGGTGGCAGACATATAAAGTGTGATTAATTTTTATTTTTTAACTTTAAAATTTTATTGTTTTGGCTACATGTGTACACATTTTGTATAAAATTAAAATATGCTAAATAAAAATATAAAAATATGCTAGACAAAACCCACAATAAAAAAGAAAAGCCAATCTTGAGGAAATAATTTTAAAGAACAAAAATATTCACAGATAACAAGGTGCATTCGTCAAACTTTGGATTGGAATAGAAGAAAATGAGAACAAAACAAGGGAGTACAATAACAAGGTTAGCTAAGGAAATAGTGGTATTAATATATGATTTACTTCTTTGCCATTATGAAAAATAAAGTTATTTTGTTTTATTTTTTGAGACGGAGTTTCACTCTTGTTGTCCAGGCTAGAGTGCAATGGGGTGGTTTTTGGTCACTGCAACCTCTGCCTCAAATGATTCTCCTGCCTTAGCCTTCCATGTAGCTGGGATTATAGGCACGCACCACCGCGCCCAGCTAATTTTTTGTATTTTTAGTAGAGACAGGTTTTCACCATGTTGGCCAGGCTGGTATCGAATTCCTGACCTCAGGTGATGCACCTGCCTCGGTGTTCCCAAATTGCTGGGATTACAGGCATGAGCCACTGCATCTGGCTGAAAAATGAAGTTTGAAGTGTATGTTTTATTGACTGCATATCAATTAGACCTAGGATTGGACCATATCACAGAAAATTCCCCCAAAAGTGATTTAACTAAAGAAGTTTAATTTCCTCAGGCATAAAAGAAGTCTGGGAGGGGTGCATAGGCCAGGAGTAGTATGGAGCTCAGTTTCCTGTCCTCTTGCTGTCATTCTGAAAACATGAGTGCATCCTCAAAACGTTGGCTGATGGTCTTTTTTTGTTTTTGAGATGGAGTTTTGCTCTTGTTGCCCAGGCTAGCGAGCAATAGCATGATCTCGGCTCACTGCAACCTCCGCCTCCCAGGTTCAAGCAATTCTCCTGCCTCAGTCTACCAAGTAGCTTGGATTACCAGTATATGCCACCACGTCCAGCTAATTTCTTTATTTTTAGTAGAGACGGGGCTTCTCCATGTTGGTCAGGCTGGTCTTGAACTCCCGACCTCAGATGATCCGCCCACCTCGGCCTCCCAAAGTGCTGGGATTATAGGCATGAGCCACCGCACCCAGTCTGGTCTATCTTTTTAAGAACATTTTTCTAGTAAGCAGCTTTGCAAGGGAGAAACAGCATTTCTGTTATACACAAAGAGTGCATAGGTTTACTGACCATTATTAATTTTTAGGCTCTGTGTCTCGTCCTCTTCTGGCCCTGTGGGAATCGGCACTCAGAAAACTAGGACAAGAAAACGCTGATAATTTGACTACTGCTACTGCTGTGAGAAATAAAGTCCTTTATTTCTGATCTAGGAATCACACATTATCTGCTACCTTTCTGTGAAAGAGTTTATTTTTTTGCTTGCAGGTAGTACAAAATCTTAGAAACTTTATAGTTCTTTACATTCCAATACAACATTTCTGTTAATATCATTTTGTCCAGAATTTAGATAAATAAGCATACGGCCCAAGGGAGGCTGCAAAATGTTATCTTTCAATTTAGCACAAAAATTAGAGCATTGTTACTAGGAGGAAGGAAAAATGGACTTCAGGGTAGGGCAGAAGACTTCACTGTTGTAGACTAAAAAATGTGTTCACAATTTAGTGTTATGTGAAAAAAAATTAAAGCAAAACATGTGAATAAATAAACAAATAGGCCACAGATTTTAAAATGTATAATAAGTGTTTGCTGAGGTTATCTCTGGGTAATGAAGGTGCATTAATTTGCTGGGTGCTGCTGTAGCAAAGTACTGTAACCTGGGTGCCTTAATAACTGTTGTCTCACAGCTCTGAAGGCTAGAAGTCTTAGGTCAAGGTGTTGGCACCATTGGCTCCTTCTGAGAGCTGTGAGAGAAAAATCTGTTCCAGGCTTCTTCTCTTGACTTGTATGTAGATGGCCGTCTTCTTCCTTTGTCTTGTGAAAGGATAATAAATCTCAGGACCCCAAAATCACTAAACCATAGGGAAAAGTCAAGCTGGAAACTGCCTCACAGAAACCTACCTCCCATTTTGTTTCTAAATAAGACAGCTACAAAAATAAAAAAAGCTACATACCTCCCTCACAATTTGCCCAGTAGGAAATTCCTTGTGGGCCCCAGGGCCCTTACCCTAAAACAGTTCTGTTGAATTTCACCCTGACAATGTAACTTGATAGCTTATCTTCAGAGGTATGGGACAAAGGACAGAACTCAAAGTCATCCCTCTGCTCCCCCCCGAGACAAATGCAAATCTGATTGCTTCTTCTGCCCTATTTTTTTTTTATTTTATGTAAAAATACAGATTCACTGAGCTAGAAGAATGAATAAGTGACTATTCCTCTATCCCAACATTTTTGCATGCGAATGTTTGCTCAAAGACTGAAAAGAATGCAACCATTTGCTCCTTATCTAACCATACCTTTAAAAAATGTCTTTGTCTTTCCTCAGTATCTGCCCTTTCCCCTTTAAATATTGAAGCCCTAAAAATCAGCTTTGGAGAAGGCACATTTTGCCACACATCCTGAACCTTGGCAAAATAAACTTCTAAATTTATTGAGACATATCTTATACTTTTTGGTTTACAGTCTCTTCACATAAAATTCTCTTTGGGTACATGCCTCTGTGTCCCAATTTTCCTTTTTTACAAGGACACCAGAAAGCCCATCATAATAACTTCATCTTATCTTAATTATATCTGTAATTAATCTATTTTTCAAATAAGGTTACCTTTACAGGTACTAGGGGTTAGGATTTCAACAGATGGATTTAGAGGGACACAAAGCCATAACAGAAGGTATGGATAACTTTTTAATTTGAATTTTTATTTTTTCCAAGTGTTGTTGTATTGGTTTTAGGTAATTTTGCTAATTTAAAAAAAAAGATAGCCAGGCCTAGTGGCTCATTCCTGGTAATCCTAGACTTTGGGAGGCCTAGGTGGGCAGATCACGAGGTCAAGAGATTTATACCATTCTGGCCAACATGGTGAAACCCCATCTCTACTAAAAATACAAAAATTAGCTGGGCGTGGTGGTGTGCGCCTGTAGTACTGGTTACTCGGGAAGCTGAGGCAGAAGACTCGCTTGAACAAGGGAGGCAGGCAATGGTTGCAGTGAGCCAGGATCTCGCCACTGTACTCCAGCCTGGCAACAACAGAGCTAGACTCCGTCTCAAAAAAAAGATATAAGTTTTAAAAACAAAAGTTCAAATGTCTGATTTACTCATTATGCTTATATAATCCTAATAGCAATCTCAAACTGTGCTTTAATGTTGCCCACATATTTTTTAGTCTTTAGTAAACAACGCTGTTTTGTAGTTGAATCATTAGATTTGTCACAACAGGTTACTACACCTCTCTTCCAGACATTTTTATGATGCATTTTGTTTTTTCTTGTTCACTTAAATCTTTAGGGCTCTGTATGTTCAGAAAATTACTGCACATACATTCAGCCCATGGGCTTTTGTCCTTCAATAGCAGTGGCTTCCAGTCTGTGACTCGTTAACCATTCATTACATTTCTGACTTCAATGCTGAATTGGTGGGAAATTATATCCACTAGGCTTCATTCCCGATGACACAGAGACACTGAGTGGGAGTTTGTGAGTGATGACTTTTCCAGTAGAATGTGAAGGTAATTGTAACAGTTTGACATAGAAGAACAGAGTGACTGCTTCAGGCATGAGGACATAGGGTACAAACCAAGATAAAAGGAAGACTAGGAAACAAAGGCTACATTCTGAACCAGTTCTTTCCAAGTACTTTACACTAGAGGAGAACTTGTTAATGAATAACCACTATTGAATGACTGCCATGAAAGCAAACAGAGAGCTATTTTACTATTAGTTACATTTTCATGCAAACATTACTCATTTGTTCCCTAAAAACCAAATATTCCCTATCACCCCTGAAGTGTAAGATAGAAAGGAATGCTTAGGTACAACATGAAGAACCGAAAGAAGAGGCAGAAAATTTGAAGAAAGCTGACCACAGACGAGGCAGTGAACTCCAAGAAAAAAAAAGAAAGAAAGAAAAAGAAGGGAAGCCCACATTTGAGGTAAAGAGATGTGTAGTTCATTGAACTAAACCTCAGAATAGAACGTAGGAGCACGTTAATCAACGTCAGGGAAATAGGGATCGCTATATTAGAAGCACAATTCCCACATAACAATATTTGTTTTAAATCTTGGTTACCATAAAAGGCTAGAGCTTTATATAAATGTTAGTATTCTTTGTTTATCATCAGCAATATGATGGGAATCTTAAACATTTAAGACCCCAAATCCCAGCTTAACAACTTAATACTGTATTTATTGTTCTACTTCAAGTTTGCTTTTTATTTAGAAACAAATGCTAATTCCTTATTTCTCGGTAGAGCATCTGTCATAATTCCAATTTATTTTCTTATCCTTCTATCAATCTCTAGTTTTGTTTTGTTTTTTAATTTCCTGCCACATGTTCTAATCATAGCTCCACACCTAACCTATGAGAGATCACTTGGAAAATCACAGGATTTCACAGGACATGCCATTTTAGTTAATAATACATTAGATAAATAAATTCCAATTAACAGTTGCATTTATTAAGTTAATATTTTTAACTGTTTTTCAATTATTGAATTTTCCCATAATAAATAATTGAGTTTCAGTTTCCTAATGACTCCTCTCAAATTTCAAAGAAAAGTCAAACAATCAAATAGAACTTTCAGCTTTAGGGGTCCATGTATGGAAGTACACAGTGCTATCTATATTTAAAATGTAGAGCAAAGTGGATGCTTTTTATAAACAAGCTTTTACGTTCTATTGGCTTCCAAGAGGCATAGCTCACATGAAATCTGAATGCTGTCCTTTATAGTCTGGTCTAAGTGTCAATTTGAAGACATCATTCAATGTTAATAACTCAAACCAAGAGGAATTCATCATGTTCCAAGTTTAAAACAAGTATATCTGAGAAACTGAAACAAATTTTAACCTGAACTCATGAATAATAATTTTAGTCCAAATGAGATGTTTTAATCTTGAAAAGAGGAGTATAAAGAAGAAATAATTTAAAAAGAAATGCTAATGAAATGGAAATGTTCTGACATGATAGAATCTGTTAGGTAGCATTGCACCTCTACATTTCTCACTCCAACTTCTTTCCTTTTGATTTAAATCTTGGCATACCTAGCATATCTATTGTCCTGAGCAGATTATTTTTTAACATCCTTCATATTTCTATAACAAAACTATGTGCAATAATAATCTTGCAACAATCACTAATCATTATTTAAATTACTCTTTAATTAAAATCAAATAAGTTAAAAGAGAAAAGAATCCCAGCTTTAAAGATATTATTCAGATATTTACTCTGTCACTAAATATGTACTTTCTCCCACAAAAAAGAAAAAGAAAACATGACCCCTTCATGTTTAGTCTGTTACACTAACAACATTGTAAATATAAGTAAAAGCTCTAACTAGTCACATAGAATGGCAGTTAGTTATTCATGTTTCTTCACTTTTACCCTCACTGTGTCTTCATCGTTTATTTAAAATCTACTGTCTAAATACAAGACTATGTAATATGATGGAGGATGAGGGCAAGATGTGTACCAGAATGAATTAGAAAATTCTGAACCATTAAGAGCTTAGTCTGGAAACAAACACAATCACTTCTCTGCCATTCGGCTAAGATCAAGTATAGAAAAGAACACATATGGCTAAGTCCATGTTTATATGTATGTGTATGTTGGAAGGTGTAAATATAAAAGAAGGGGAAACTTCAGGAAGATTCCAAAAGGTAATTTCCCAATAAACATTGTTTATGTGTTCATATAATGTAAGATATTTATATTTAAAGAGACCACTCGGTTTCCTAGGACTTAAAAATATTTTTTCAGATCTTTTTCAGATAAATATTAAAAACACAGACTATTTTTATTTTCAACCCTGAAAAAATGATCTGCTGAATTTGTATTAGTTTAGTTGCCAAAATAGATCAGAGGATGCTAATCGATGAGAAACGTATCTCCTCCTCTCTTTTTTCCTTTCCTTTAAAACCAAGAGATGCATATAATTTAACCATGCTTGCTTTGGATAACAAACAGCATGGGGTTGAAATGCATTGAGTCTGCTTTCTAAGGAAGTACAATACTTCACATTTTCAATGCATCACTGAACAGAGGTCAAGTAGGGTAGTACCAGCATAATATACCACATCAAACTACCCACAGTAAAGTAACTCAATATACCCTGTGTATATTTCTCCCACATTAACAAGTGGGTCATCAATCACTCAGTTAACTTAAGCCCAGTAGTAAATTTATGGTATTTTGCTTCCCAACATGTTCCTGCTCAGTTTTCATGATTTTCCCTAATATATGATCACTTGGTAAATAAAAAGAGACAAGATTTTTTTTTAAATTTCCAGATTAACTAAAAGTTACTGTTATTCCCCTCTGAGAATTCTGAGAAGCTACATAAACTCTATCAAAAATAGTATTAATCTAACGAAAGAATGATTATCCTTCTGTCTTCCTCCTAACTTTCTTTATAGCTATTTAAATAAAACTAGCAGCTGACACCATCATCTTGAGGAGAAATAATGATTGTCAGATAATAGAATCTACAAAATTCTTAAAATTTACAAAAGTTTATGAAATTCTTACAAATTAAAAACTGCACAAGAACAAATAGAAATTCTTTAACTGTTAAAGTAGCCATTTCATTTAATGTGGGTGATGAATAACCTAACTCCCTCAAGTTAATATACTTTCCTTGCTGTTTAATACTTCTTGTGGAAGTTTAGATGTGTATCTCATTTTAAGTAACATAGAGCAACAGTGACGTTATATTTCAATTACAAGTGAGGAAAATGGAAGGAAGACTGTGGCTTATTTGAACTCCTTCATTATTTGGTTATACCGTCGTATTTTGATACAACAACAAGAAGTTTTATGTTTAGAAAACTTTTATTCTATCCCCCTTTAAGCATTTCACACTTGCACATATATTTGTTTTTCTAAAAATACTTCTAGTAGCATTTATTTCACAAACATTTGAGCATTATACATATGTTGGGATATAGGAAATTAGTAAGATCAGGTTTCTAGTTTTGAAAAGCTTATAGTCTACTGGATATATATTGTAGGAGAGGGTGTTTTGTTTTTGTTCTTACACAATTTGGAAGCACTTTGAAAAGTCATATTCTGAATCAATGATATGTAGTTCAAATTGTTTTGTAGTTCAAATTGTTTATCTATTCTAAGGATTCACAGAGTAGCCTGACCTGTGACTCTGCATATAATAAAAGTGATGCTATCTCCAAGAAAGAGGAGTCCATTTTCAGAGCAGGTGACTCATCTTCCATGGCTGCTGAGTCTGGGACCTGCAAACCAAAGACGAATGAACAGAGCACACAGCCAGAGATCCTTTCCTAAGATAAAGTTACTAATTCATGCTTCGGAGAGAATAGAACTGGGACACACTGCTTTGTTTATTCAGAATACATACATACATACATACATACTTATTCATGCTTCTTGACAATATAAATTTGTTTTCTCAAAATTTATGTTTTTCTCATAATATTTTTAAAGGCAGATTTACTTTGAGTTCATGGGAATTCTTGCTAAGGATATTCAAAATCTAGCAACTGCAAAATGATAGGGCTTGTTTTTAAAAATAAATGTTGGCAAAAAGTCTTCAAGAAGAAATAGACAAAAGTCCATCCTAATGATAAAATGAATTCTATAAAGTTAAAATGGCTTTTCAAAACTGTAAATTATCTAAATGTTTTATCAGCTAAATAAAGTATATAACATCTATATAAAAAACAGGCCATTTCAAAGTACATTTTTGAGACAGACTTATTGACAGTGAGAAAACCTTCATGTTATAGTAAGGGAAAGATGCAGATTTAAATCAGCATTACATTAATGGATTTCATGAAAGGTCTATCAACATAAAAATAAACACACAAAAAGATAGAAGAAATAATATATTTAATAATATTCAAGTAGCATTTTCTTTATTAAAATATGATAAAGCATTTTAAAAGGAATTTGAATAAAATTATTAATTTATTATACATGTCCCTTAAGTTCTTCCAGTTTAAACAACAATTAAAATAAAAATACATTTATATAAATATTGTCATTTATAATGAAAATTAACTAATTTTCATAGTGTATCCATCAGGCAATATTTTAAGTGTGTTATTATATCTTAACTCAATCCTTACAATAAACCTATGAGGTGAAAATTATTATTACCCCCACTCTGTATTTAGAGACGTTAATTGTCCAATGTCACAGGGCTAATAAGTGGCAGAGCTGGATTCTGAATCCAGTTATCACTGCTCCAGAGTCACAAGATCTCATTAAGAGGTGTAATCATTTAAAAATTAACATAAAATTTCTGCTTGGTTGTCAATTTAAAAAATTTGTACTTCTAAAATCATTTTTTTAAACATTTCATAAATTTCATTTTTTCATTGTGCAGCTCTATGGGTTTTAACATATTCATAGATTTGTGGAACCACCATAAAAAATGAGATATGGACAATTGTGTTACTCCCTAAATTCCTTCATGCTGCCTCTTTGTAGTCAATCACTTCCCCGATTCATATCCCTAGCAACTACTGATTTGTTTTTTCTGCTTCTAGTGTGTTCTTTAAAACAGGGGTCCCCGATCTCCATGCTGCAGATCAACACTGGTCCATGGTCAGTTAGGACTGAGCCAGAGAGCAACAGGTGAGTGGCAAGTGAGTGAGCATTACTGACTTACTGACTGAGCTCTGCCTCCTGTCTGATCAGCCATGACGTTCGATTTTCAAAGGAGTGTGAACCTATCGTGAACTGCGCATGTGTCTTAGAGACTAATGCCTGGTAATCTGAGGTAGAACGGTTTCATCCCAAAATAATCCCCCAACCCCTTTGCCCAGTCCCAGGGAAAATCAGTTCCTGCTGCCAAAAAAGCTGGGGACTGCTGCTTTAAGAGGATGTCACATAAATGGCATCATACATTATGTAATATTTGAGACTGGCACGTTTCATTTTGCATAACATATCTGAGATTTATCCATGTCATTTCATGTATTAATAGTTCATTTCCTTTTATTACAAGGTTGTATCCTATTATATGGATGTGCAATACTTTGTTTATTCTTTCACCAGTTTAAGAATATTTGGATTGTTTCCTTTCTGGAACAATGATAAATAATGTTGTTATTTTTGTGTAATTTTTGTGTGTATGTGAACAGACCTTTTCACCTAGCTAGGATAAAGTTTTTCAGCCTTAGCACTATTGGTACTTTATACTTGGTAACTGTTGTGGGGGCTGTCCTTGGCGTTGTAAGATGTTTCAAAGCATGCCTGGCCTCTATCAACCACATGGCAGAAGCACCCTCAGTTGTGACAAATAAAAATGTCCCGCCGGGCGCGGTGGCTCAAGCCTGTAATCCCAGCACTTTGGGAGGCCGAGGCGGGTGGATCACGAGGTCAAGAGATCGAGACCATCCTGGTCAAAATGGTGAAACCCCGTCTCTACTAAAAATACAAAAAATCAGCTGGGCATGGTGGCACGTGCCTGTAATCCCAGCTACTCAGGAGGCTGAGGCAGGAGAATTGCCTGAACCCAGGAGGCGGAGGTTGCGGTGAGCCTAGATCACGCCATTGCACTCCAGCCTGGGTAACAAGAGTGAAACTCCGTCTCAAAAAAAAAAAAAAATGTCCCAAGATTTTGCCAAATGTCCCCTGGCTGCAAAATTATCCAAAGATAAATATTTTTCTAGGATAAATACCTAAAAGTGGTATTGCTAGATCACATGCATATATGTTTAACTTTATTAAAATATACAAAAACTATATTCAAGGGTGGCTGTATCATTTTGCATTCCCATCAGCAAAATGCATCCTCGGTAGCATATCATTGTAATTTTTAGAGTCTTGGGTCTTTGTTTTTGTTTCTGTTTTTTTTTTTTTTTTTTTTTTTTAAACAGCCATACTAATGGAGTACAGTGGTACCTCATTGTGTTTTAAAATTTGCATTTCTCTAATAACTTATGTTGTTGGGCTTCTTTTCATATACTTACTTGCTGTCTGTATGAAGAGTCTATTCAGGTCTTTCACTCATTTTATTTTTTTAATTAGTTTTTAAAAATTTATTGATACAAAATAGATGTACTTATTTTAGGGGTACATGTCATATAATGTGTAAGGATCATACCAGGGTAATTGAGATTTTCATTATCTTAAATATTTATCTTTTCTTAATGCTAAGAACATTAAAATTATCTTCTAGCTATTTTAAAGGTACACCATATTACTGTTAACTATGGTCACCCCTCTGGTCTATCAAACACAACATCTTATTTCTTCTATCTAACTGTATATTTATAATCATTAATGAAACTTTCTTCATCCCTGCCTAACCCCTTCCCTTCCCAGCCTCTAGTATCCACCAGTGTTCTATCTTCATGAGAACTACTTTTAAGCTTCCACATAAGAGTGAGAACATGTGATATTGTTTCTTCCATGCTTGGCTTATTTCGCTTAGCATAATGATCTCTAGTTCTATCCATGTTCCTGCCAATGATAGGATTTCATTCTTTTTTATGGCTCAATAGTCCTCCATTGGTTACATATAACACATTTTCTTTATCCATTCATCCACTCATGGGCACCTAGGTTGACTCCATATTTTGACTATGGCAAATAGTGCTGCAATAAATGTAGAATTGCAGAATGTAGAAGTGCAGATATCTCTGATATATTAATTTTTAAAATTTTGATATATATCCAGAAAGTGAAATTTCTAGATCATATGGTAGTTCTATTTTTTTTGTTTTCTGAGGACCCTCCATGCTATTTCCCATAGGTCTGTACTAATTTATATTCCTACCAGCAGTGCACAAGGGTCCCTTTTCTTCACATCCTTGCCATCATCCATTATTCTCTTTTGATAAAAGCCATTATAACTGGAATTAGGTAATATTTCATTGGGATTTTGATTTGCATTTCTCTGATGCTTAGTGATGTTGAGCATTTAAAAAATATACATTTTGGCCATTTGTACATCTTCTCTTGAGAAATGCTTATTCAGATCTTTTGATAATTTTTTTTTTCTATTGAGCTGTTTGAACTCATTATCTATTCTGTTTATTAACTCCTTATGAGATAGATAGGTTGCAAATATTTTCACCCATTCCATTAGCTGTATCTTTATTGTTTTTTTTCTTTGCCGCACAGAAGCCAAATTGATATAATCCCATTTATTAATATTTGTTTTTGTTGTCTGTGCTTTTGAGGTCTTACACACAAAAAAATCTTTGCGTAGACCAATGTCTTGGAATGCTAAGTCTAAGATCTGAAACTATTAAACTACTAGAAGAACATCCGTTTTTTTTTTTTTTTTCAATTGCTGAGTTTAAAGATTCAATTATGTGTTTTAAATACAAATCCTTTGTCAGATATTTAGCTACGATATTTTTGTCCTAGTCTGTGACTAGTTTTATTAAATATTGATGAAGTCAAATTACCAAATTTTTTTATGGATCACACTTTTGGTGTCATATCTAGAAACTGTTTGCCTAATTCAAGGTTACAAAGATTTCACCTGTGTTTTCTCTAAGAATTTTATAGCTATTTTAAATTTGCTGCATATTTTGAAGTAAAGTTTTTGCACTGGATGACATATAACGTAAGGCGGTTTGTTTGTTTTTCATGTTAATGTGCAAGAGCTTCAGCACCAGTTAAAAATGTATCCTTTCTTTATTGAATTATTTACACAGCTTGGCCAAAAATTAATTGATAATATTTGCATGGGTCAAAATCTGCATGTTCTGTTTTGTTTCTTCTGCTTCTTTGTCTACCTTTCCATTAATGCCACAAGGTCTTGAAAATTGTAGTCAGCTGTGAGTCTCAAAATAGGTAGTGAGAGTACTCCAACTTCGTTTTTCTGTTTGAAAATTGTTTTGTTTTTCTAATACAATTGTTTTTCTATATAAATTTAAAAATGTACTTGACTGTGTTTACAAAATATCTGCTGTGATTTTGTTTGGGATGGTGTAAAACTTACAGATCAATTTAGGGAGAATTCACATGTTAACAATAGTAAGATTTCCAATCCATAAACACAATATTTCTCCTCATTTATTTAGGTTTCTCCTGATTTCTTTCATTAGCGTTTTGTGGTTTTGACCTTAGAGGTCTTTCACATATTGTTAATTATTTTACTTTTGGAGTTATTGTGAAAGATATTGCTTACATTTCTGTTTTCTTGCTGCTATATAGAAATATGACTAATTTTTTATGTTGATGGTATAGTCTATAACTTCGCTTAATCTCAGGACTTGTTTTTGTAGATTTCTTGGTAATTTCTACATAGACAATCATTTTGTCTATGAACAGGAATAAATTTATTCCTTCCTTTCAAGCTGCGTGATGCTTTTTGTTTTCTTCTTGCCTTATCACATTTTCTAGGGCACTAATATTACATTGAGTAGGAGAATACAGAACAGACATCCTGGCCTTATTCCTAGTCTTAGGTGAAAAATGTTTAGTCTTTAACCTGTAAGTATGATGATAGATGTAGGTTTTTTGGTAGATTTCTTTATCAGGTTGAGAAAGTTTCCTTCTGTACCTAATTTTCAGAGATTTTAAAAATCATGAACATATACAACATTTTACTTATCTCTATTGAGATAATGTCTTTTTCTTGTTTGGTCTATTAGTTGGATGGTTTCAATACTTTATTTTTGAATATTGAAGCAACCTTATAATCCTGGGATAATGATTATTATGTGCCATTATTACTATATATTGCTGGATAAGGCTAACATTTTGTTGAAATTTTTTGTTTTCTTAAGGCATAATTGCACTTTACTATTTTCACTTTATTTTTCTTTCTGTCTTTGTCTATTTATAATAAGGGTAATAGTTGCCTCATAAAATAGGTTGAGAATTATTTTTATGGCTTTCATTTTCTGGAAGAGATTATGAGCTTTGGTTTTATTTTAAAATAATTGGTAGAATTTACTAATAAAATCATTTAAGCCTGAGTTTTATTTTTTGGAATGCTTTAAAATTATGAATCCAATTTGTCAATAGTTAGAGGATAATTCCAGTTATCTATATCTTTTTGAAATAGTGTTTGAAATAGTTTTGTAATGTGCATCTGTCAATAAATTGGCCCAGTTTATTTAATTTGTTGATTGTGTATTCAGAAAGTGTCCTTTGTGTTTTTGTCTCAGTGTTATTATTATAAAGAACACTTGGAACACTGTGTGGTCACTAAATAAATAATAAGTGAGCACACATACATACCAGAGAAGAAACAGAAAATCCCAAACTCCCATCTGAATAAATCATTTTTAGGAAACATTTACTTTAAGCCTGATAAAGTTCCTGTCCAGTAGAACAATTTATAATGACAGTGACATGCTGTGACCATTAGAAAAGAAAACACGTGGGTTGTCGTCTTTTAGCTCAAGTCTATAGAGTGGTTTATAGTATTTTCTTGTATCAGTTTAATTCCTGTAATATCTGTAGTGACATTCTCCCTTTTGTTTCTGAGGATGCTAATTCAGGTAGTTTCTTTTTTCTCTCCTTATTTTGACTACAGATCTATCACTTTTATTGATATTTTCCATCAAGCAGCTTTTGTGTTCATAGACTTCTCTGTGCTTTTGTTTTCAATTTCACCAATTTCTGTTCTTATCTTTATTATTTTCTTCTTTCTGCATGAATTATGCTTTTGTTTGTTCTTTATTTCTAGTTTCTTTTTTTAAAAAACTTTTATTTTAAGTTCAGGGGTACAAATGCAAGTGTGTTACATAGGTAAACTTGTGTCATGGAG